ACCAGCATGACTTACACATGTTGTTGTAGCAACCTTGTGTCAATCTTTCACTTAATGAAACCTTCCAAGTCATTAAAAACAAAGAGCTCCTGGTGCCAACGAGGGTTTGATCCTGTCGGGGCTTTTTCCCTGACATCCCACCAGATTGGGCCCCAGGGTTTTTTTTCAGAGTTCTATTAATAATTGTTCTTTCATATTCCCCTGAAAATACCTTCTTAGACTGGCACAACGTATACTGTGATTTGATGGGCTGTAACCTAATCCACTCCGCTGAAAGAGTAGCTGGTGCCAGATTTTTAACTCCCACAAGATTATCTGTAAACATGGAAATAAAAGCTTCTGCAAGAACCAAGTGTATGAACTTACACTTGCACATTGCTAAAACAGGGGTGTTCTTTTAAATCAGCTGCAGTTATTAAAATAAATTGCCCTCATCTCTGCTTGCAAAGCTGGCAGTCGAATGGCAAATATCTTAGATGATTTGTTTCTGATGTTTTCAATTAGTCTAGGTCCCATTTCAGATTACCAGGATTATCTTTATGTCAGGAGCAGCCACCACTGAGCAAAAGGTCCTGTGTGGCAATGTTCTTACACAATTAATTTCTTGCTTTATCTCTTTGTCTGGAATAGTAGCATTTATTGTGGTGTATTGAGGGGAAATGCAAAATGTTTGTGTTTAAAATCATATGCAGTGCTCCTGGGCAGTGACAGAACTGCCTCATTTAAAAACATGTATTTTTCCATTAAGGCCCAGGAACATCTGCTGTCAGACTGGGGATCCTCACACCAGGAGACCAATCTTCTAGAACTGGACAAACAATTAAATCTGATAGTAAATCAAATGGTGGTAGATTCACAGTTTATTGGCTCTAGATGAGCACTACCATGCTGGGCAGCTCCTGAGCTGTCCGAGATGCACAATCAATACCTCTGGTAATTCACTTCTCGGCACCATGAAAAACCACATTATTTCTCTGTATTTGATGACTGCCTGTTGCTTGCTGAAATGCAGTATCCATATGAGCTGCTGCTTGTCATGGTATATGCAAGGTATGCAATGTTAAGGATTAGAATTCAGTTGGAGATCTGCTAAATGCCAAGAGCTTTATGTGCATTTCTGCATTGAGAGGAGGAAAAAGAGGGGATGGTGAAATCTGCAGACAGTGAATTTCTGCTAACAAATTTGAAATATTAATTTTAAGATTCCTCTATGTGACTCTTCTCATTTAAATGAGAATAATGTTTTGCATACATGCATGTATAAGAACTGAATGGAAGAGAGATGGAAAAATAGTCTTGGTGAGTAAAAACAACTTGAAAATCTCACAATGAACTGAACACAGACCATTTTCTGAAGTTACTGTTTCTGCTGTTGATGATAACAATTGGCATATATACAGAGTAACAGTCAGAAAAGTAGAGATCTGGTCATCTGGACAAGCAGAACTTTCAAAACCAGAATGCAGGGGAATGGCTGGCAATATCGCAAGACATTTAGTTCATATTATTCATAATCAGATGATATTAAAAAAATGTAAGTCATGTATACTCATATTTGTTAAGCCTATATTTGCATCTGGACTCACTGGGAGGAGAAAGTCCACATACATTAAGGGCACACATGACAGCTTCTTAATAATATTCCCCTATATTTCTCTTCTTTCTGAAGCTATGTGTTGTGAGTCAGCTTACAGAATGCAATGGCATGATTTTGGAAGGTGAGGTCTGGGACATGAGAGGTGATATTGCATGTGTTGTAAATTAAATTTCAGATAAATAATGTAATTCTTAAACAGAGTTGGTGGTACGTAGGGCAGAAACTGTGGGTTGCATGGTGCCTCTTGTGGCTTCCAGCTGTTGAACTATGTTTGAAAATCAGCTTAATGTGTTTTCCTAAGAAAATAATTGTTGGTAGGATGCCGTATCACTGTGAATGGGAGGGGAACACTGCTGCGAATTCTCTTGAATAACACACAATATGCCGTTGCTATAGCTGAGACTGGTAAGAGTTCCTCACAACCTGTCCTAGAGCCTGAAACACTGTTTTCAGCCCTCATTCTTCTGCTTTTCTCTGCCTTTCACTGTCTGTATATCAGGAAACTGCTGTCCACAATACTGCTACAGCACAGGTCAAAAATCATTCACTTGATAAAATACTTTACGGACAAGAGCTGGAAATGCAGGATCTACTTACTGCACAATTCAGGCACTTCTTCCCACTGAAATCAACAGGAGTCAAGAACCTAGACATCTCTGTAGATGTAGGGCAGCCCTGCAGAATGTATGTGCCCACCTACCTGCAGGATAACCAGTGCTGGCACAGTGGCTCTGTGTCACCTCCCAGCCATGACACAGCACAGAGGTTGTGCTGGTCGGGACTCCCACCCCTGAAACTCTGTCCTCCTGCAAAAAGGTGCAGTTATACCTTTACTTCCAGCAGTCCCAGATTCAGTCTCTCCCAAAATGCCACGATACTTCCTTACGCTGTCTGGAACCGCCAGCCTGGCCTCTGCAACAAGAAGGAAAAATAGGAATTAGGAGTCCTGATAGCATCCATCTCCTATCCCACCCACAGCTCCGTGGTGACAGACCAGTCCACACCAAAAGCAGCTTGGGCTTTTCCTCCCATTCCCTCCACTCCCAAGTGACACCTGTAGCCTCAGTGAAAGAGGTTTTGGGGATGAAACTGAAAACTGAATTCAGATTAAACGCCACCGATCTATGTGGAGTAGTGTCATTTCATACAGAAATACAAACCTCTGTAGGAGTGTGACAGTAATTGATGAAATTGTTTTGCAGTGCACAATATTCTTGTTAAAAGTGAGTTAAATGCTGCATGGTATTTGTTGCGCTATTGTGCTTTTTAGTGTTTCAATTTTGGTTAATGTAGGTTGCCTCTTTAAGAACACTTTAGCTATTTTACCATGTATTTGAGACAAAGAGCAGCCTGTGGGATGTTTTGCTCTTGTACCCAATGACTCACAGGCCATGCTTGTGTAAGCACCAAGAAAGGTCAAACATGGATTTCAAGAAAGCCAGCACCATCTTCAGAAACACAAGATAAGTGTTTGGATGAGACTGGATACAAGATTTCCTCAGCAAGGTATTGAACCTCTCACCTCATATTGAACCCTTTATGTCTCAACTCAGCATTTTGCATTTTGCACCATATTACAAAGTCTTTGGAATAGGAAATATTTCTTCCTATGTGTTTGTGTACTTGCATGGCACAATGGGCCCCAGTCTTGTTTGGATCCTCTCTTGAGTCTTTCTGTGTTAGGGCCCAAAAGCATATTACTCATAACGCATTTGCAATGTAAATTTGATAGCGCTCTACTAGTCACACAAAGTATAAGAATAGGAAATTGTTCAAGAGTCCAAACTAGAATTCAATCATTTTGTACCAAAAATGGAAATATTTTAAACATGCATTTTGAAAGATAGCTTAGGCATAGTTGCAGTCTGTAGTCCAGCAGAAGTACGGGTTTGGGGGAGACAAGGTAGAGCCATGACTGAACTGAATCAGTCCCATCTTTGAAGATGCTTTAGAACACCTGCTAAAAATACTCCAATAAAACACCACAGTAATTAGAGCAACGCAATAGTATTAATCACATAATGAAACACTGTTATGTATTTGTATTTTACAGGATTAATTTGAACTTGAAAGTTAAGCAGAGAAAGCTGCAAATGAATTCCCAGGTTCCTTGCAATGAAAAAGGTATGATTTTTAAAGACCGTTAGGAAACTTCCTAGAAATCAACTTTTAATGTTGTGAGAGACCGAAAGAGTTAATGCCTCAAACATTGTAGTCTTGCAATTGTGAACCCTGTGTAGCAGAGCTTGCTTTAAAACCATTGCAAAATAGGACTTAAATGATCCAAATGACAAAGCAGCTACTTCTTTCTGCCTCTCGGACTGCTTCACCAACTTCCAGCCTCCTGAAGCCCTCAAAAAAGTCACTGTGAAATTGCAGAGGTCCTGAACTCCATGATTAAGGGGAGGTACATGGTGTAACCAGGAAAGCAGGAATTAAGCCTTTAGCACATATGGCTGTTTTGAGTTTCTTACAGATTATGGCAACTTGATATTATTCCATATTCTTTTAATTCTCTTTTCATCTGAATCTTGTGCAACTCTACAGTTACCACTCAAATAGATTGCAATTGATTATTTTATTTGATTGGTGTGGTAACACAAACCAAAAGTCTGCTTCAAGGAATTCTTAAGGTAGGATCATCAGGACATCAGAAATAATCATTCATCAAACTTCCTAAACTATGGATATTTATACAAGAGTTCTACTACTTACAATGAACTAGGAGAAACTCAGGGCAATGACAGACATTACTTGGCCCCCTGATCCAAATTAGGAGCCAGATCCACCTTTACACAAAACTCAACCCTAATGATACTGGCACTGGGAAAAAGGGAGGAGAAACTGTATATAAAAGAATTTTTGTTTTGGTCTGTCATATTAAATGGTCATCATGAAATGACAATCTGAACGTTGCTGAATTTTCCAGACTTGTAACGCTCGTTTGTGGACAATTTAAAAATACTGAAGATGCATTTCTTCCTTATACATATTCCTGCATTTAACTCAGCTTTAACTTTATTGGGTTTTTTTGTACTAACAATGCCACCAGTCATGATTAACTAATTTAGGAGTCTATTCCATTTCCAAGTATGTATTTGTTACTTTATTTGCCAAAGCACAGATCCCTGCTTAGTGACTACGGAAATATTTGCATTAGAGACGCTCAGTACCATCCTTTTGTCAGTAATTTTCACCTCTTCTCCTCAGATGTTAGCTTAAAAGTAGATGAAAGATTTGCTGCCATCAGTTTCATCATCACTTTCCCACTCCTTATTAAAGGTGAAAGTGCTGAGACTTTTCTGCTCCCGTTTTAAAAGCAAATAAAGGCTGAAAACTTCCATAATCCAAGAGGTTAAAAGTCACACCAGGCAGGAGAGGACTCTTCGGCGGTTTAATCGCAATGATTTCGGCACAATTTATTTCGGAACAAGTCGAGCACCTGGCGAGGCTGCGACCGGCGGTGGCTCCGGCTGGCGAGGCTGCGCCCGGCGGTGGCTCCGGCTGCCGCATTCCCACCCCGCTGCGAGGCCGCTGTCACCTCAGCGAGGCGTCGCCGCTCTCCGTGCCGCCTCCCGCCCTGAGGGCGAGGATCCCGCTCTCCTGAACTCTCCGCCTACGAACAGCGGGCTCCGCTCGCCTCTGCCCAGCAGCGACCTCACGGGGCGGCAGCGGGGACAGCGCCCGCTCCGGAGCGGGCTGTGGTGACCTTGGCCCCGCCCCGCGCTCTCCTCACGTGTTTGGCCCTCTCGGGCCGCCGTTGCGCCTGGTAGTGGCATTTCCGCGCCCTTGGTGGTTTCCGCCGGTCCGGGCTGCCGGGGGCGGCGGC